TAGGCAAAAGTCTTGACAGCTTATAAGTCAGTTTCTGTTGTATACCCTATTGAAATTGAAAAAGGGTAGATGGAGATGAAAAGAAAGCTCTCTTTATCTAACATTTCTAACAATCTATCAATCTACTATATACTATCTCTCTATATACTAGTCAGCCAAAAATTTCTTACTCACTTCCATATATCTCTACAGGGTATTAGCTAGTCTCTCGCATTTCACATTTCCGCCTTTGTAGGCGAGTGTTTCGCAATTCATATTTTATTTTCTGTATCGCTCGACTTTAATGATAAATGAGCTGCGATCCCCACACACGAAAAGAATTGGAAAACAGCGTTGACTGATAAAGGAACCAGAAAACACAAAGCAAAATATTTAATGCGCATTTATTTATGTTTTTTTTTTTCGTCGTTTTTTGAATAGTTTTTTGGTTGTCTTTTATGTATGTTAACAATTCCAGTTGCCAAAAATGGAGTGCGCTTAATGACCTTCAAGTTCTATGCATAAATTTGGCTTTATATACGAATATGTACATATATATGTATGTATATTTATTTATGTGTGTACGTCTTTTACCTGAGCTCGTAAATCTTGCGCTGCACCAATGACAGCGCATCTTAAGATTTAACCCCTTCTCTTGGCAGCCTCACTTGAGAGAGGGCGTGGTCTGTGTTAGGGTTCAAGCGTGAGGATCTTTAACCACTTAACGCGACCTTCAACTCGACGAATGTGTGTGAATGAGTGTGTGTGCGTGTGTGTGTGCACAGTAAATTAGAAGCAATTGGCGTCTCCGAGTCGTCTCTTGCCATCGCCTGCTCAGCAATTTTATGAAAATGCCAAACACATGTTATTCACCCCCGCAGCTTGCTCAAAAAAAAAAAAAAAAAAACTATATTCCATTCAGATTATTTGTTTGTATGCTCATTATTTTATTTTTGCTAATGATGCGTATATTTCTATGTCGGATAATGTACTGAATAGATATTAATATATATATGTATGTGTATATGTTTCGCACATCAAGTGAATTATTTGCCGATGAAGTCATAGCACTCACTCACATACATATATGTATATACTATTATAATATTCAAATATGAAATTCCTGCACGTGACATATGACGTATCTGCCGGAGGTAGCACGCTGTGAGCACATTGCGTGCTCAAGAAAAGAAGTGTCGCCAGCCCCATTCGTGCCATAGAACTTTTACCAATAAGCAGACAACAGTTGGCCGAGCTACACCTAGCGCAAAGTCTCTTTGTTGTAATTATAACTAAATGTTTTTGTCAACTCGAGGCCTAATAGAGTTGTTTGTCATGTAGCGCCAGGCGTCTAAAGAGCTGACAAAAAACAATAAAATAAATGGGCTTACCTGTTTAACAGAGTACTATATAAATGAAGAGAGCTGAAAGTTTAAGCAGCAGAAAACTGCCTAAAAGTTATAATTGGACTGGTCTGATATTATTAATGAGCTAATATATTATATATTTTTGTTTACTATTTTTATTCGAGCCTTCAAGCTTAGCAAAATGTATTATATTTCGCACATACTACGCACCAAATAAAATTCCCTCTGCTCTGTTAGCTTAACATTCCCTCACCTTGCTCTGCTAACTTAACATGCTCAGTCGGCTCTGTTAAAAAGGCGAGCAGTTGCTATTTGATTTACCTTTTCGCCTTTCTTTTCGACTCTCTTTCAGCTACAGTTTTGCTGTGGCCCTCTTTAATCTTGTTTGTGCGATCGCCCTTTGCTCCTTTTTTCCTTGTTCTGTTGGGCTTTGGCTAATTTCCTTTGCCATTGTCTCGCCTACTGCTCCTGCTGCTGCTGCTGCTGGGCGTGCATGCAATGAAATCCTCTTTCAACAAGCAATTTTTGCTTGCTTTTGCCACCAGTTTCGTTGATCTTTTTCACTGATCTCTAAAAGATGTGTGCGTATCTCTCTCCCTCTTCCTCTCTCAATCACAATCTCTATCTCTGCCTTAATACAAAGAAAGTAAATCAGATTTTGGAGCAGCTGTGCATCTTACGAAAATCCCAACAGCAGTCGTCGCTTCCTGACCTGATTTATTGCCATGCTTGGACTAGGTCCACTCGGTCCACACTGTCCACACAGCCAGCCTACCTAAATATTATCGTAGGCTCATGCAAATACCGCATATGATTTATGCTCCTATGAGTCTATGCCGAAATGCGTAGACCAAAGTAAATTTGCCATAGCTTATGGCTTAGCGTCTTATTAAATGACCATTATTTGCTCAAAAAGAAAGAAAAATTCCCGAAAACCTATCATAACATGCATGAACTATTTCCATAGATCATTGAAATTCATGGCATGGCAAAATTTTTGTAATTTTGTAGGTCACTAATTAATGCAAATGCATTTGGAATTCGCTAATGAGCTACGGGCTAGCCAGTCAAGGCTGCCGAGTGAATTGGTTGAGGAAGGTTGATTAGGCTATTTCAATGTTCTATTTGGAAAAGTTTATATTCTCTAGGTGTCATTTGCTATCCTAGTTGACTTATCTCAATTACAGCTGCCCAGCTGGCCTGCTGACGTCGTAAGTTAAATGCTCAAAGAGTTTATATCCCTCATATTATTTACGTATTCGTTTTCTAACTATCTGGCTTAGCTTACAGCATACAACGCGCTATTTACACAGTCTGAGGCCACAGCTCAAATTTCCTTGACTTGACTGCAGTCATAACCGAGTTACTTAAGATCGTTTTATAGTTTACGTCAACTCAAGCTGCATTTGTTGAGGTGCGTGTTGATAGTTGAGCTACCGTAAAACCACTAAATGGTCAAATAAAATTTATGACATTCTTCAAGGAAAATGAAAACAGTATTCGAAACAGATCCTTGGTGGGCGCCTCTGATATGTTTTATTGTGATGGCACGCTTCAAGAGTTGATAAAGACGCGCAGTTCTTACAGCTGTCCGTAATAAAAGACACAGAGAGACTCTTTTAGTACTTTTCGAGGTCAGGGCGGGGTCAATGATAACAGTTGCATAACAATTTCAAATATTTTTATACAAGAATTTCCTTATCACAACGACGGAACAGTGAGCTAATTAAAATGCTTAACCCACATCAGCAGACAAATCCCTGAAATGGGCTGTGTATTGTAAATAGTAAACAAACAAACACACTCTCAACCCTTTCTCCAGGGACTCGAAACGCAAAATGAAAATCTCTCGAGTCGAGAAAACCGAAGGAAAGAATGAGAAATGAAAATGTGTGTCTTTGGGTCGGGTTTGTCGTGGCTCGTTTGCATACGTAATTAGCTTGGGCATTTTGACAACGATGGCGACATTTGACATGAGTTTGAGTTACGATCAGTTAGGATCAGTGTGCTGGCAGAGCAAGACTTGGAAATGGGAAATGAGAAATGGGAACTTGCAAGGGGAGTTTGCCTCGTTTGCCGCTTATCTTTACACCTCGGTTTGAACTTTACGCCTAAGCCGATCGGCGATCTATCTTCGAGACATTTGACATCATTAGTCAAACTTAAAGACGCATTTGTAATGTTCACTTTGTTTTATCTCTTTTACTTCCTCTTCTTCTGCTTCTTCTCATCTTCTGTTAGTTTCGGCTTTGGGCGCCTTTCGACTCTGATCGCAGCCATTAATTAGGTTTCGCCTAGAACCAGTTGCCGCCATATTTGATTTGATATCATTTCATTTTATTTCATTTCATTTTATGGCCATGCAAATTGCAAAACCGCGCTAATTTTTTTCCTCTCCCTGTATATATAAGGCATATCAGTTTCACAAAGCACTTTGTTATTGTATGTCTCTCTCTCTCTGTTATTTTCTTCAGTTTTTTGGGTTTCTTTGTACAACAAAAGGCATATTTATTTCGTTTTAATTTGTAATTTTGCGCTATGGTCAAGGCGAGGCGCGGCTGAAACCAGTTGAACTTGTTAGCGTGTACACACTGTGTCACAGATTTTTGTCCTTAGTGCGTTTAACAAGCAAGGAAACAAGTTTCTGTCGTCCATCCATCTATCCAGCCGGCCATCCATCTATATCCATGTCTTCTCAGAGCACCCTTCAGTGTTTACTCAGCTAGCTCTTAACAACTCATAATAGAGCAATTTTCACGTGTCCTTGCTGGCCAGTAAATCAACTGGTCAAGGCAGCTCACAAGGATCAGCACTTCCATTGTCACTCCTTCGAGAAAGCGTACAACAGTTCTCAGCCCCTAAGCAGTGAGGTTTGTGAAATTGATCGTGGCACTCGTGGATGCTAATGCTTTGGGCTTTACCAAGATTTACGAGTATTTGGCAGTTTTATGGTTGATTTTAAATTGCTTGGCTTAAACGACATGACTCATGTATACGTAGAGCTTTTCCTGTAGTGGAAGCTGATGGGCGCATTAGACAGAAGCTCACTAATACACAGACAGTATGTGAAAAGCTCAGCTCAATTCTTGCTGCAGCGCATCAAGTGTGCTGACAGCTGTTCAATTGCCTGGCAACAGTTGCCGCTGACCTTGAGAGCTTTTTCTTATAGAAACCTGAGCCAGCCGGCTGCCAGATCTTTAATTCTGATTGTGAGACGTTGCCGAGAGCTAATTTAAATCAAAAAAGTGTTCAAGCAACTGACAATTTAAGCACCCCTCAGAGAGGCGCACCAAGCGAACAATTGCCGAAAATGTCTGAAAAGTAGCTGCAAGGTATGCACAGTTTCTTCCTCTTCCTCCCTTGAAAGCTGTCAATCAAAGCATAGGTACAAACATGATATATATGTATAGTTATAAATAGAGCTATAGCGCTCTATAGTCCTGGCATTTGCATAAGAAGAATCACTAATGAGAAACGAAAGTAAAGGAGAGAAGAAAAAAAACGCTTTTGGCCGCCTTTTGCATGTAGGTCAAAAAGATGTCACGAGCTGCAAACGAGTTTCACGCTAATTACGTCGTGTCGAACTAGTTTCCCGTCAAACAGCAAACATTTTCTTACTAATGATTATTTGGTTTTTGATTTTTGTCTCGACAGATTCCTTTGTGAACAGCCAGGAATGGACAATATCACGTTCGGTGCCCGATCTGCGGCTGGGCATTGTCGGCTCCCTGAATTCGGGCAAATCGGCGCTGGTGCATCGTTATCTGACCGGCTCCTATATGCAGGAGGAGTCGCCGGAGGGCGGTCGCTTCAAGAAGGAGGTCTTCATCGACGGCCAAAGCTATTTGCTGCTCATACGTGATGAGGGCGGCGCACCTGAAATGCAGGTAGGTGGAAGAGCAACATGAATCTAACATACTTTATGCATGAAAATGTTCCGAGATGATATATGGCAGGAGTCCTTGGTGGGGGCGGGGTTGAGGGTCTTCTGTCTGAGTATTTGGGGTTGGTTTCCACCTTCAAGTGGGGGAGGCAAGAAAACTTTTTGCTACTAACAAATTTAGCCCTTATCATCTTGTAAATATTTGAATTGAGGTCAGACGGGCGCAAAACTTTTCTAGTTTTGTCGAGTAGCTTAGCAGGTTGTTAGCTACACTGCAACAAAACAGAACAGTCATAAATTTAATGTGATTTATACCTTACATATGGGGTATATAGAGGGCTGTCAAGTTTTCCAACTGGTCAAGTCAAATACACTGCAGTATAGTTTCTGTCGTAGTTTTTGCCAATTATCAAGTTCTCTTCGCGCCTCTTGGAAAAATTTCCGACTTCTTTGTCAGCTTTCACATTCAATGGCAAAAACTTGAGCTGTCTGCCCGCCGTGCCCCGCCACCCCGCCCCACTCAAACTCTTCTCTAGTGGTTCTTCAGAGGGCCGTTTTTTTTTTGCTCTGCCTGTGACTCACTCAATCGAACTTCGACCTTTGGCAAGCAACAATCGTAGCCTGTTGGTCGCTGGGCGGCAAGATGGGGGAACGGTAACTTTTATCTTGGCCTGAGGCCAACTGCTGTTGCAACATTTCGGGCCTCAGTGAGCCTTTAAATACCCTAGGCAGGAATCGTATGATGAAAGTGTGATGGAACTGGATACTAAAAATAGAGTGGAAGCTATTATATAATATAAATATAATATAGAATATAATTTATAGGGATGAAGTAAGAAGAATGTAGAAAACAGAAGTTTTAATACCCAAATGCTCTAGCAAGAAACCTTAGCTTAGAATAAAAGAAACAACATATAATAATAATAATATACAAAAAAGATTCCTTAGATTTATAGCATTAAAAAAAAGTGAAAGAAACCTGTTTGTTAGCAAAAACAACAAAAACCCAAAACCCAAGAGTGACTTCATTAATATACTTAAGTAGGAAATAAGTCACGAGCAAAGTAAATATAACTCTGTCTATAATGTGATATAGGAATCTTTAAGGATGAAAGCTAAAAAAAAATCTTAAAACTAAAAGTTCAAGTACTAAAAGCTTTAGATTAATAACAGAAAACAGATTGAATCGAAGCACTTCAGATCAACCATAGATTAGATTTAGATCTCATTAAAAAAAAATAAATAAATAAAAGTCAGTCAGCATAGATTCACAGGGCATCTCTTAGTCGGCCCATTAGAGTCGACAAATGTCTTGCCTTATTGCGACACTTTTCGTCTGGCTGTTTGGGCCTTAGCCAAGGGTTCCCATGCTTTTTGCACGTTAGAAGTTTACGTGATGCGGCAACTGTCCAATATCATCGCATTGGGGCTGTCGCAAATGTTAAAGTTGATAAACTGTGCCACGATTGCAGTCGTTCGCAAGCCTTCGAGCAAATAGCATGGGCCCGCCCCTATATCGTGCCATATTTACATTACTATGCAACATTTCGTATTCCCGCAGCACAATTCAATTTTTTGTTTGACTCATTGATTCGCAGCTTGAGAAGCTTTTGTTCCTTGCCATTCGCATTCGGGATATTCGCATATTTGCAAAAAATATTTTCTGTATCGACGCATGTTTGTTTGACAAGCGAAATGCCCCCCGCTTGCAGCGAGAAGAGGAAGAGCAAGAGAAAACCCTCTATGAAACCCTCCAGCTTAAAGGGTGAAAGTGTGGATTATAATTTTTAAGCTGCTTTCGCTTTTGATCAGACTTTTTTTTATATTTTTTATTTGCGGTGGGTATTTATTATGAGATTGTAGGGGTTGATCATCGTATGGAGAAAAAAATGTGCCTGCCACGCGACGTGACCCCTAAAATCGCATAATACCTCGTCTATATCCAAGGGCTTAACAATTGACTATTTGTAGGGCTTAGCGAATTTCATTTAAATTTCAATTTCTATTTTCACTTTTTTTTTGTATCTCCACTGTAATTACGTGTTGTTAATATACGCAAGTCAAGCGTATGATTGACCCATATTTTCGATGAAACATTTTATATTCAGTTTGTCAGCTGAGTGAGCGGCTTACGATGCATTTTAGATCAATATTTTCTATAATTAAAATTATTTTAGCTCTTGATAAGGCTTTAAGTTGTTGCAAAAGTTTGATAGTAATTGCATAGTTTGAGCTGCATTGCATATGTATTGCTGGGCAATGCATGCTAAACTGTTTATTATGGTTGGTCTTTCTAGTTTTTTCTCTGTCTGTCTCCCTCTCTCTCTATCATTTATTGCAGTTAAGAGTTTGAACAGCATTGCTTACTGTAGATTGTAAAATCCTATGCATCTCAAACTGTTTGTTATGGTTGGCTCTTACGGCTCTTTTTCTATATATCAAGTACTCTTTCTCATTATCTATCTCTCTTTTTCTCTCTCTCTCTCTGTGAAGCTTTGACGGCGCTTCAGCAGCTATAAAGCAATCTGTTCGCTCTTTCTCTCTCTCCGCTCATACGATTCAAATTGCATAATCATTTCCTAGCAGCGCCTGTCAAACTGTCTGTTATGGCTGCTTAATCGAGCTGTCTTTCAAGCTTTCTCTCTCTCTCTCTCTCTCTCTCTCTCTCTCTCTCCCTCTCTCTCTCTCTCACCCTGTCAGTCTATCTCTAACACCCTCTCTTTATTCTCAGTTGGTCGCACAAAAACGTTTCTCTCCCGCAATTTAACTAATTTTATGTCCATTTCTTGACTAACTTCTGTCATTCGCATCTTTATGCAACATAATAAACCATATTTCTACGGAAAAAAAAACCCTCTGTGTGAGAGCAACCCCCTGGCAGCCAGCCACCCTCCCAGACAATAACAACAACAACAGGAGAAGTTGTCAAGCACAAGTGTTAAATGACGTGATTGCTGTAGACAAAGAATACCCTGCAAGTGTGAGATATAAGAAATTTACACTCTTTTTGTATATTTGACTTCCATAAAACGTGGCTTGTTTTAGCTTTTCGCACATTTACAGGGTATTGTGTGCATTGAATGTGAAATCCGTCATTGCCGTCGCGTCGCCACTCAGTCGCGCTCTTTTTCCTTTATTTTGTTTTTATTTTCTTTTCGCAATGGAGCAGGATATCATTACCATATACGCGACGACAATATTGCATGCGACGGCTGTCGATTCGACATGTTATGCTCTCATTCGTTCTATTTCGTTTTTGGCGGCCAGAACAGGCGAGTTCAAGGTAATAGAAACGAAATGAGAGAGAGGGCAATGATGGGAAAAGTTTCTAGAATAGGTAATACATAGAGAAAAGATAGAGAAAAGAAAATTATGAGAAAAGTTCCTAGAATTTGAGCACTAAAAATTGCTTCTGTCAATCAATAAATTTTAGTATTCAAGTGAAAGTTTAAAATTTAAATAACTAATAAATTATTCCATTCTAATCAGGGTGTTATTTATGTATACAAAAAGCAAATTACAGCTAGAGTTCTCTCCTTCTAGCAAGAAATATTCATTACTTAAAATTATATATCTTGCCTCATTCTTCAATCATTGATATATTAATATATTTACAAGCAGCTCTCAAAATATTTAAAATATTTCTTAATATATATATGCAGATACTAAAATTTCGCTAATAGACCTTTGAGTTTTAAATAGTTTCACTCGAGTAAGGAAAAGTCAATACCGAAATGCCTTTGCTCTAAGGGAATATTTGCTTGCGTCGCATATAAAAGTGTTCTTAGAATTTGTCAGGATTAGCAGATACTTTGAATAGCTCTTAACCCAGATAAAAGTTGTGCGCATTGTTGTGTGTCTATTTGCTTGGGCAGCACTGTGAGCGAGCACGAACCCCCAACGAAAGCCCAACCCCAGCGCCGTTGAAATTGTTTTGTTGTCAAGCGAATGTCTCCCGGAGTGTATGTATGTGTGACTGTGTGTGTGTGTGTGAACTGTCTGTGTCTGTGTGCGTTTCCCGTGTAGCCGCTGCATTTTTTTTTTCTATTTTCACTCTTCTTTTTGCTTTCCTGTTTCCTCCTGCATACGATTTTCACAACAAATCATAAAAAACGCAAGCACTCAACCACCCACTGAACCACCCGGCGTGGAGGACAATGCGCCAGGACGAGGCCGCAGGACAACGAGTGCGTCGACCAAGACGCCAGTTGTTTGTCGACTGGCATTGCGGGCGGGCGGCTTTTCCAGCTCGTTCGAGACAGTTCCATGCGAACGGAGTCCGGGCACAGACACAAACAAAGCAGAGAGATGTTTGTTTCTCTATGGAGGAGCGCACATAAATAATTTATAGTAAATTTTAAATACATTTCCGTGCGTGAGTGCAAATGCATAATAAATAAGTGAATGCGAGCGCGGACTGAACAATCGATAGTTTATGCTTTCGCAGGACACACGAATCCTGCGCACTAAACACAAAGCGCCTGTTTACAAGCCAATGTAAGAGTTCATTATCCTGCGGCTGCCATTGCATATGTGTACGTATGTCTGAGTGTGTGTCTGTGTGTGTGTGTGTGTGTGAGTGTGTGAGGCATACAAAAATCATTAAAAGTTTAGCACACGGCAAAGGACTGCTGCCGAAAGGATTCAAGTGCTTCATTAGCGACTTTCTCAAGTGTGCGTGTGTGCTTGCTCCCTCATCACTCTGCCCCGCTGCCCCGCTGCCTCTGATCCTTGTCGTTGTCCTTTGTTAGGCGCGCTTCCGCCTTTTGTGCTCTGCCCCGCCGCCAGACGCCGTCAATGTTTTTTTTATTTTTTTCTGTTTACTTCGCGCACAAAGTCAAGGACTCACGTCCAAAAGTTTGGCGAATTGTGATTTCTTCATATTTTTTACACACGCTTTTGTTTGCGTCTTTCGATTTCGTTGCATTAATGTTTCTCTCCTCTCTTTCTTTCCGAAATCTCGCAGTTCGCTGGCTGGGTGGATGCGGTAATCTTTGTGTTTAGCCTGGAGAACGAGGGCAGCTTCAACACGGTCTACAATTATTATACGAAAATGGCGCACTTTCGCAACGGACAGGACATACCCATGATATTGGTCGGCACACAAGGTAAGCTATTGTTAACTAA